CTATTTATGAATCCAATTGCTTCTGGATCCGTGAATTTTGTGGTTACATAGTTTATAATAAGACACGTTTGTTTTGTTGAATTTCGCGCAAAGATACATAAGGGATATCTACCCTAGGCTTCCCTAATTTTGAAGCGATAGACTAGAGGGAAGGTAGCTGGTCAACATTACACACCGCCAAATCTTGGGCTACTCTTGATATGCCAAAGAGTGGAATTTGACTGTCATTTTTATAACGCACCTAAGGCCCCAAATTGCGCAGTGGTAAAGTACGAGAAAAACAACAGAATCCTCAGATCCACTGTCAGGACCGCCAATGGTTCAAACCAAAAATATAAGTCACATGAAAAACTAAACATAAATGCTGTAAAATCAATCCCACTAATTACTGCTGGGCTTTCCTATGTATTTACATAAAAAATATATGATTTCACCAACATTTTTCGTCAGTTTTTAGACTGAGTGTTGTAACAGGTAAAAACATAAAATTGCATAATATGGTGTAATATAAGACTTCCAACAATAGCAAACGGTGAATAAATAAGTCAGTATTTTGATGCTTAAAAGCAACCCCTAGTATTACTTGTATTTTAAAACAGCGTATAACAAAGGTGCCCATTATGATTTGGTCTAAAGAAACAATGCACTATTTTTTTCTTACGTTTTATCTAAAACATTAGCGTTGCTGGGTCAAAAGGCACTTTTAAAAGTCTGAAAAACATAATGAAAACTGATAAGCTTGCTTGCCTCATTATATTTTCCATGTGCACATATATCGTTGCGAATTTTGGCCCGGTCACGCACTCTCTTACCAAAGCAGGGTCATTGTACACGCAAACAATTTGACCTTCAACAACTCAGCCCCACAAACACCCACCACGGATAGTTCTTTTCTCGCAACTGTTAAAAACTTCTGATGCAATCTGAAATAGAAACAGCATACTCAGCGTCTATAACAGAACCTCCCACTTAAGTCTAGCTTCATGTTTCAATAATTAGCTTTTGTTTTTATTTTCTTGTTGGAATTATGTTTCATTTACACATAAAACTAATTTATTAATTTTTGCAAAACAAGAAACTGTCATTACATTTTTTTTTCGATATTGAAATAGTTTTCATGCCCACCATGTCATTATTATGGTTTAATTAATACAACTAAAATAGAATATTATAACAAATGATTGCTTTAATTAAATCACTAGTAGAAAACTACATATATATTTAAATTGTTTCATACTTGTTCAGTGGTTGGGCTAATTGGACTGTGTGCTTGAACTGTGAATCCGAGGGTTCACTGTTCACTGCCCGCACTTTGGGGCCGTGGGTGGGCTATAAAAGTGGCGGTCAAATCCCACATTTTGGTAAGACAAGAACATCTCAAGATCTGATAGTGTTGCTATTAGCTAGCTGCCTTCCCTCTAGTTTTTCAGTTCAAAATTAGGAACGGCTAGTGTAGCTTTGCACGAAAATTCTGAATTCTTTATTCAAATATATTTCGGAAAGTCGCATACTCGATAAAAAAAACTACATAAAATGGTGAAGAGACCTTTCTTGTTTCGTAAAGGTTTTTGTTACTGATTTATCTTTCAACTCATTTCTGAAACTATACTTATCTTGTTAGTGTAGTTTTATGGTCTTTAATTCTTAGGTTATTTCTGCAGAAAAGTTTGTTCTTAAACGAATATAAACTCATGGTATTGTGGGATAAACTTAAAACCAAATCAATAAATAAACTATTAGACCACAATTATCATTAACCTCTGATCAAAGCAAGCTAGCTGCCTATATAGACCAGAAGAGTAAGAATTAACCCGGTAAATAATATAGCTAATTTCATATGCTGGTCTAACTGGGAGTACATAGTTATATAATATAAAATCTTATGATAATTGGAATGCAGCGTTTCATCATTTGGATACCCTAGCGATATTCTCGGCTGTAATCACAATGTCTCATGATCTTAGGCCAACTTAAAATATTTAGATCATTCCTAAATCCATATACTAAGCTGACATTATAAAACAATCTTCGTAATAAAAAATATCAAACAAATTAAAAATCGTAATATTGCTTGATGGTTAGAGCACTCAACCCACAATCTGCTGGTTGCGGGTTCGAATCCTGTCATCGAACGTGTTCGCTCTTTAAGCTGTGATGGTCAATCCAATTATACGTTGGTAAAAGAGTAACCTAATAGTTGGCGGTGGATATGTTGACTAGCTGCCTTCCCTCTAATATCCAAATTTGGGACTGCTAGCGCAAATAGCCTTCGCGTAGCTTTGGGCGAAGTTCAATAAACAAATAAACAACGAAAAATCATAAAAATACAGCAAATGAAACGGATGTGTGATTTTTGTAGCTTGTTTGTTTGTCATTAAGCATAAAGCTACACAATGGACTACCTGTGCTCTGCCCATCACGGGTCTCGAAACCTGGTTTCTAGCGTTATAACTCCGCAGACATACCGCTGTATCAGTGGGAGCATTTTGTTTTTTGTAGCAGGAAAAATATATAATCAATCTTTTTAACAGAGTAAGTTTTTCTTCGTAACAGTTTTAGAACAGAGTGAAATCTGAAGAATAACTTCATGATATCAATACCTAGGCAATTCATTTATGACTACATCTTCCCTAAACAAACACTAAAGCTATTCTGACCAAGAAGCCCCCCAGTTACTCAGTGGTAAGTCTGCAGGCTTACGACGCTAAAAATCGAGTTTCGATACCTGCACTGGGTAGAACATAGATAGCCCATTGTGTACTTAAATCAAACTGAAAAATAATTAACTTTCCCAGAACAATATCACAGTGTCGAGCTTCACTAGGGTTTCCCAGATGCCACAGCATTCACGTCACTAGAATTTCTGATGTCTCTATATCCAGATGTAACCAAGATGCTGTAAGTCACACTAAGACAAACTTACCGAATTATCCAGTTAATCAACCATGGATAAAAATAGTCAATTCTTATGTCACTCTTATGAATCTTTGTGATGGTTTCTAAGGGCAGTATTGGCTCAGCCCAAGATTAAGCATAACCTCAATTTGTTCTTCTAGAACTTGCAACTAAGTAGAGAAATTATAGTAAGATGTTAAATTGAATGAATAAAGATATTATGATATCATAGGTTTCATTAAGCTATATCAAAATGATTTCGAATAAGCAAATCAGCAAGCCACGAGACAACCACAGCGATATAAAGTAGCGGTAGAATGGGATGTATCAGAGCTAACATTTAAACACTTTTTGGTGTTTCCTAGGTAGTGTGATGCCATCGAACATTGACAGCTTTGGAAAAGGGCATGTAACAGCCCTTTCTGATGCAAAATATTCATACACTTACATTACAAAGGTATATTCAGATCGGGGATTTAGAATTTACAAGATGACGATATATCTTGTACTTAATGGTATTGGAAAACAAATGATTATGGATAAACTTGAGACATCAGGACCATGCAGAAAGAGTCCAGCAACAAGACGTACCCCAGCTGTGGTTAATAAAATGTAGTGTCTTGTAACAGACCCAGGCAACAGTACGCAACATAATCAAGAGTGATCTCCATCTGAAAAAGAAATATAAGTCACTATGCACAAGTTACTTCCACGACAAATCTGTTCAACCAGCTGGAGAATGAAACGGAATTTGCATGATGTTACATGTAAAGATATATTGATTAAGTTGCCATATACAGCACTTGTGAATTTCTGTGCGATCAAACTCTAAAAACGGCACTAGTAAATCGTCATCCTCGTGCACTAAAAAGCATGCTGGGAGGAAGTGTATTATTTAAAAATGGTGGCCTTACAATGGAGCCTTTTTCAATAGAAACTATGTTTCAGGGCTATTGTCAAGAAGCACGGCCATCATGAATGGAAGTGGCAACAGTGATTGTAATGACGTGGTAAGGCTCGAAAATCGTTTTAATATAACGTGTTTAACCTCTATATAAGCAGCAGATCTCACTAAAGTGTGCACAAGCCATCACTTTGCGCAGGAGCCCCATCTTACACGAAAGCACTGTCTTGCTTGGTAAACATGTCACTGGCATAGACAGGTTGAAGGCCTTACTCAAGAATTGTGATGTATCAAGCAACAGCGACTGCCCATTCATATACCACCAATTTGGACCATCAGTTGCCGAAATGACAACTCTCACCATAACAGAAATGCTGCTGTGTATTTTTACGGATTACAACTGGTCCAGTGAAAGTTTCTGGAAGTATAGTCGCCAGGGCGTTATAATGTGCGGTCAATCCCACTATTCGTTGGTAAAAGAGTAGCCCAAGAGTTGGCGGTGAGTGGTGATGACTAGCTGCCTTCCCTCTAGTCTTACACTGCTCAATTAGGGACGGCTAGCACAGATAGCCCTCGTGTAGCTTTGCGCGAAATTCAAAACAAACAATAGTCTCAAAACTACATGTTGTTGGTCTTTCTTTTATGTTCTATACTTTTTCAGTTAAATATAAATTATCTCATTAGTATCTAGTTTTTTTTTTGTTTTTTTTTGCTAGAAACGGGATGCGAACTCTGAATCATCGAGTTCACAGTCTGGATAGATTAACAATTATTATATTTATCTGTATGAAGTACATTTGAGTGTGATATCTATTTTTGTTAATATTGATGGAAGCTTTATAGAAGAACTTATTTTTCAGGTTTTGATATTCTCTCAAAAGGTTATTTGTAAATCTAAAACTTTATATTTATTTTTCTAAATTATTGTTTAATCTGTCTAAGTTATTTATTCCTCTATAGCTCAGCGATAAGTTTGAAGTTTATAACTCTTAAAATCCGCAGCTCAATTCTTCTCGGTGAACACAGCGCAAAGAACCAATTGTGTTTCTTTGTGTTCAGCAAGTGAACAACTTTTTTAACATTTATAAACTAAAAAAAAGCCTGCAAGATTCATTAATGAAGCAAGATATTTTGCAATCTAAATCTTTTAAGTTCACTTATCTTATGATTTTTTTCTCTGCTGAAAATAGTTCCGATTTATTATTTCTTCGCACTGATTAACAAAAGTAGGACTAAATTTTTATAACAAGATATGCAGCTTCACAAAAAACACACTGAATGTATTTATAAAGATATTTTAGGTTACTGTGCATATGTGGAAGAGGGAATGGAGTATTTTTGGAACAAGAAATAATACGGTATTCAAGTCTCACTTAAAGTTCATTTCAGAAGTGTAGAACTTAACGAAAGCATCCCATCAAGCCTTGACCTTCACATTTGCTTTTTTTCATGTACTGCTGCAAAAAAAAAAAGGGGGGGGTGCGGGGTTAGAGTAAACAAAGAACAATCACGAATATTTTTTTCCCCATCATGTCTGTAACTCATACTGTTTAGTCTGGCAATATAAATAATTATTTTTTGTCTTCAAAAATAAACTTTACATGTCGAGAGCAAGCAAATATGCTATTTAAACCAGAAAATACATTGCTTAGGCAGACATTATATAAACGTTCAAAATTTAATACAACTACTGTACAAGTGAAGTTGAGTCTCGGTGTTTTGAAGAAAAATTCAGCTTTTTAACATTATTTTTCTATTAATATTCGAAAATAGAAGATAACAATGATTATCATTTTTGTTAAATATAACCTTTCGTTTATGAACATTTCACCATGAATAAACCATCTGCTTAACCTTAAAATTATCATGGATTCATAATTTTAAAGATATTTTTATAAATTACTGTTGGAAACTAAATTTTCATTTGTTTTAATTTAGATGTCATTTAGAGGGCGCACGATGTTACGATCAAATAATTTCCTAAAAATAGTCCTAGTATACTTAGAAAGTTCACAATAACAATGACGTCAAAAATCTAGTAATTTAAAATAATATATAAGCATGAATGCGTCAATATAAATATTAGAAAACAGTCAGTTAATTCAGTTCAGTAATTAAGAGTTCTGTAAACTATTCAGTAGAGTGGTGAATGAGAATTCAGAGAAGTTAATGTGTGAGCGGTTATATTCAGTGTTTGCACTGTTTGTAACATATTAATTTAATAAGTCTATTAGCAAAAACATTATTTTGAAATTGAAAGTGTTATTTCTGATTTTAGATATACAACTTGGTAAAAGTGAAAGTAGTCTGTATCAAATCTTAAAGAAGCAATAAGCTAATTCGTTATCATTACGCGAACTGGATTTGAACTTTTTTTTACCAAATAATCCAAAATAACCAGCCCAATGATAAAATATGTTATAACACTAGTGCCAGAAATGGTATTATTTTGGTGAAAATTACATAAAACATTGAGTAAACTTTAACTTTCGAGATGACCTCATAAGGAGATATTGGAGATTTATTGGAATTAATGAAACAGGTAAAACAGGATCAAGAAGAGTTGTGTAGAAAATTAAAAGATCAAGAAGAATTGTATAGAAAATTAAAAGAAGAACAAAGGTTTAGAAACAGAAAATTAGAAGAATGAGATAGAAAGTCAAAAGAAGACAAAGAGGAAAGGATAGGTATTTAAAAAGGAGTTAAAACTTAAAGGAGAATTAAAATAAAAAATAAATCTGACTGAAGGCAAGATCGATGACGCCATTGAAGATGTACAGAGGTATTACAATAACAAGATTGTAGAAGTACAAAAGGACATCAACAAAGTCAAAAGCAGGTACAGAAAAACATTTATGAAGTATGGAAAATTATAACAGCAAGATAAATGTAGTAGTAAAGAATATAAGGTGGCAGAATAAACACAGCGAATTATATATATACAAAGATTAAACCTACCACACCTCTTACTGCATCTACCCAAAAATTCCAACCAAAAACACCATTTGCTACAAAATCTAAAATAGGTGAATCTATTTAGTGTATACCTGTTACCACTATGGTTGTTCTATCTGTTACTGCAAGGCATTCCTGGACTACTCCAGCCATGCCAAATAAAGTTTCCGAATTTAGCTGGCCAGTCCAATAACATTGGCCAATCGAAAAGCCAATGAACTATGATGGAAAGATACCATGGAAAGCATACCAGACTCATTTTCAGAGTGAATATTGGAATAGTGAACAACAAGCTATAAATCTTGCTACCCATTCAAAAATATTATCTTTGACAACACTAAGTAACTTTCCAGCTGAGAGCCATAACAACTATCAAACAATGGTAGCTGTCTTATCCAACAGGAAGTATCCAGAGCAAATTTCTGGAACAGGGAACCGAAGAAGAGACCTCAGCTAAACTTGCAGAAGGTTTGCCAAATTTTACCCACATGCTCCACGCGAAATGGTGGATTCTTGGCACGTGACCAATCTATAGATGCCATAAATGAGAAGAATATGAAAATTAGGTTAGATTACCCCATTTGCCTCAAATGAAATAATAATTTCACTTTAAAATGAAAAACCAATCCACGGGTTTATTAATGGGAAGCCTTGTAGTGTGCTGATTGACATTGGTTCTACATTTATAATAGTTCTACCCACTTTGATAACATAAGGTGGGAAATTACTTCCTGCAATGATGAAGGAAGATGAAGTGATACAAACAGCAAGTGGCCATAAAGTTTCATTACGAGAGGAGTTGGAAGTTACACTTACTGTGGGATGCTTTTTCACACCTTATGACATGTGGGTGATTAACATCAAAGAAAAGTGCATTTTGAGAACTGCCTGCATATACAGACATGAATGAGAATTTGGGCTGGTTTCAAAAAGCTTCACAGTCTTTGAAAAGGAAATGACAATTACTGCACCAGAGATTGAACTTCCAGTGACAAAGAAAAACAGTCATTGTACCACCAAGAAGTAAAATACTAGTACTAATACTTAATAGAAAAAAATGTAAATCTAGTGACTGGGCTGTGATAGAACCAAACATTTCAGTGTGTCCTGATAGAATAATGATTGCAAGAACTCTCGTGAATCCGAAAAATAGAGATGTCATCATTAGGACACTGGACACAGTGAACCATAAAATTCGGGTGAAGTTTGATGGGGCACTGCGAGATGTGTAACTCTACAGATGTTACTTCCATAGCAGAGAACATAAGAAGTAGTCACCTTCAAAGCAAGATGTATGAAGTATGATATCAAATCCTCACAAAAGATCAGCTTACCACCTCACTTATAAGAGATGTCCAACTGTAGCTGCGTCAGACTTGTTGCTAATCAATGCCATAGAACAGGGATTCTCAAACTGTGGTACATGGAGCTAATGTCGGTGGTATACGACACAATTAACCTAAAAATTCATAAAATTTATAATTAGCCCTATCTGTTCTTTCCACGTACATATACATACTACTCTCCTCACTTATAGACTCACCCTATACTTGCATAGACTCGCCAGTATTTTCTTCCCTTAAAATTGACAGAAATGGTACCACATATCCTTCACTCGTGCCAGAAAACAATCGCATCCTTCGCATTAATGGATTTGTGTTAAAAATATTAATATTTGTTACTGGTTTTTGTATCTTTTTTAAAAAAACTTTGTCCTGGATTTGTAATTTTTAAAATTAAACAGAAGTGGTACACAAGACTGAAACGTTTGAGGACCACTGCCATAGATTATATGAATTACTCACAGAATATCAATATACCTTCTCCAGTGGACCTCATGACTTAGGATCGGCTCGGCAAATAATATATTTTACAAATTGATACTGGAGATACTGTCCCGATATACGTCAGTTAGCCAAATGATTCCCATTTGCAAAAAAAAGCTGAGACTTTCAATGAGAGTAACTCATGAAGTAACAAGGAGTGATAAAAGAGAGTACTAGTTCAAGCCTTTGAGCATAACCTACTGTACTTGTGAAGAAGAAGAAGAATGGATCCACAAGTTTGTGCATGGACTATCGGATCGGAAGATGAATTAAATCAAAAAGAAGGCTGTTTACCCAAGGATTGACTCTACTTTGGATGCTCTGTCTGTATCAAAATGGTTTTCAACTTCAGATCTTAAAAGCAAATATTGACAAACACAAGTTGATAAACCAAGTAAAGAGAAAACATTTTAATGCAGGAAATGAATTGTGGCAACTGGTTGTGTTACCATTTGGTTTATGTAATTCACCTTCTAAATTTCAACGACTAGTGAAGTATGCTTTCTTCGAACTACCCTAGAACATTCTACTTCTACCTGGATGATGTAATCGCACATGGGAAGACATCTGATAATGTTTATGATGGGCTAAGGAAAGTTTTGGATTTGTTTAGAAGTTAGAACCTTAACCTGAATCTCAAGAAGTGTGAATTATTCCATCAGTGGGTGACTTCCTGGGACAGAGATTGAGTGTTTACAAACCCATCGATGTCTCACTCTGTCCATAATTGGCCAACATCAAAGAACCTGCAAGAGATGGGTTTTTCTTGGACTTTTCTTTCTTACTATCGTCATGTTGTAAAATCATTTGCTGACAAAGCTGGTCCTCCTTACAAATTATTTGCAAAACCAAATAAGTTTTGTTGGACTGCTGATTGTGAATAAGCATTAAAAAGCTCTAGACAGAATTACCTACTACTCCTATATTAACATATTCAAATCTTAAAGATCTACTCATTTTAGTTAGATGTTAGTGATTTTGTAGTGAGATCAGTGTTATCACAAGTACAACATGAAAAAATAACAACATGTGATTACTTACTATAGAAAAACGGTGGATGCCACAGAAAGGAGGTATCGTACATTTTGAAAAGAGCTACTTAATGTTATTTGAACCCTAAGTCATTTCCATCATTATCTATAAGGTCAAAAGGTTATACTAACGATAGATCATGCAGCATTGAAGAAGCTTGTGAATTTTCACAATCCAGAAGGCCATATAATAAAATGACCCCAAACACTCCAGGAATACAACTTTAAAATCATGCATTAACCTAGACAGAGCCATGGAAATGCTAACATATTATCTCAAAATGAATGAGGGATGTAAACATAGTGAAAAGCGGGAATCACGCGATAGTAAAGAAGACAAACGAATGTAAAACAAAATACAATCCAAGATGTGACATACACAATAGATGATGAAGAACTAAAATAGTCCAACACCCAGCAGAAAAAAGTTGCGAGTTTGAAACCAATTATTTAGTGGATCAAGAAAAGTGCAGAAAATCCTCTATGGCAAACAATCTCACCATATAGCCTAAAGACAAAGATGTATTGAACACAACAGGATTCATTATGCTTACAAGAATAATTGTTATGCCAAAAATGGAAAGATACCAGTGGACAAAAACAGCGATTACATTTGGTACTTAGAGTATCTACATTCTGCAGCACTCCGTTATTTCCAAACCTTCTAATAGCTGGACACTTAGATGTTAAGAAGGCACTACTAAGAGAGAACACGAGAGCATTTCTACTGTGTTGGGTGGTGGGGATTCGTAGAGAATTGGTGTAAATACTGTGAATGTAAAGGTCCATGAAAGAAACAGCATGGGCAACTACATCAATATTATGTTGGAACATCACTTGAAAGAGTTGATGTCGATGAGCTTGGTCCTCTACCACAGAGTATCAATGATAATACATACACTGAGTGGTCACAAGTAAATATACACCTAATTTTTTGTCATTTAACTGATTTATGCTAACTAATTTGTGTTCACAGTGCACTATATAAATGAAAATGGTCCGCACACTAGTTATCTTGTGCTACAACATGCCTAGAACTCAAGGTTCTCTCGAATTGTCAGATTTTGTTAGAGGAAGGA